AGCAGGAGACCGGCGCCACCTTGTAGTGGCGGGAGCGGCTCCCGACATCTCCCCCCTTTTTATTAATTAAAGGCCATTTCAACCAGAAAAATTAACACACCATGAGGTCACCGATCAGCCTGCTGAGCCAACAGCATCAGCGATCAAGGAGTTTACACAGTGTAGGAGACCCTCTGCACCCTTAGCCCCGTGCAATGGGAACCCGAGCCCTGGGGAGTGCAGAGGTCTGTCCAGAACAGCATCCCGGTGCAATGGGAACCTGTGCCCTTCAGGGGTGCCATAAGTTCTAGACAGAGTCTCAACGGTTGAGCAAGTTAAGCCAAACTTGGGGGGATGCCCCCTGTTCCACAGCCAGCATAGCCTGCACCATGGCCACATTTTTAAGATGTTGTTGTCTCTTGAATCTGCAGAGCAACCAAAAACAGAGGAGCAGTCCTGCAAACAGGGTTACTCCAAACATTCCCACTCCAACCCACTCCTTAAAATAGGAGAGGGCGGAGGACACCCAATTAAACAATCCTTGAGTAATGGAAACGTCTAGGCGAGTGGAATTAATTTGAACAATTGCTAGGCGTAATTTTCTTATTGTCTCATCAAATTCGGCGGACCAATTAGATTGCAGCAAACGAGACAATTCTATGGATAAATTTGCAGCCCTAGTAAACCTGTTATATGGAACAGAAGTTACACAAATTCCTGGTAATGTAGTTTCACATCCCAACTGAGCCAGCTGCCACAAAATCTCTAGCTGTTCTTGAACCAAATCAATACGTTGATTAACTATCATTAATCCTCCTTTTAACTGATTGTTCATGGAAGCCTGTATATCTATCGCTTCACTAACTGATGCTGACAAATTATTGAGGGTATGAGCCGTGGCAACCTGGCCATTTAATGCTAAGGCTGATATAGTCAGGGAGGCTCCAACCGCCGCAGTGGCTATAATAGCCACTATTGCTGCGGTGATACCAAAATCACGCTTTTGACGAAATAGGGCCAAAGAACTACTAGTCCTCACTGGAATAGGCAGAAAACGGGGCATGCGGGCTACAGTAGCCAAGTCATACTCACTAGCATTCCAACACAGAGCATACTGTCCAAACAAATGGAGGCCAAACACAAACTGGGGTGGGCTCCACCGACTTTAGTCCTCCTAATTCCGTCGCGGATATGGATCCAGGTCTGACATTTGCAAGCAGAGTGGTAGTAGCTGTCGCTCCACCCAAAATGGTGACCATGGGTGAGAGATCTGTGCAACTGCCACCAACACCACACAGCAGCCAAATATTAAAGGGATTGGTGGGGTAATTCCAGGGACTCATTTCGGTGTAATTTCCATACCCTTCCAAGGGTGAAAAGGTAAAGAGTCCATTTTCGAGCAGATGCGCTCTGCGACTCTGACAGCCCGTCCATGGGAAAATAATTGAAGAGTCCGCATGCCGGCCAGTGCAGAAGGGGGCGTACTGAGGTTGGTGCTTTCGTTCATTGCTCCCATAAGATGAACCGTGCTGTGGCCACCATCCAAAAAGGACCGTAGCATTAGCTGAAGATGTACGATTCCTGATGGTCTCTTTTCCTAACTTGGCATAAGAAAAATTTCCTAGCTTTATACATGAGTCAGCATGAGTCTGGTTGGTTGTAAAACAAAGACTGCCGTTATTTGGCTGGGTGTTGTTGTCTGGTATAGGGGCTATGTCCTGAGACATTGGCAAATATGGTAGCCCAATGGAGTCATTGGTGGTAAAGAAACGGGGGAAGACTTGTGCATCATACATGACTGGCATTGGTCGTGGGAATGTTGATAGGATCCCCCAGCGGATCTCCTGGGTCTCCACCTTCAGGTCCATCTGCACTCCGCTCAAGATCAGGATCAGGGTTAAGATCAGGCTCATCTTGCTTGACCACTCTGGTCAGCCGCGCTGGAACCCAAATCGGATTTTCTTGGTCCTGTGGGAAAACACAAACAGCTCCCCTGGATCTTATTAAAATAGGATCCGGTCCTTTCCATTGATTATCAAGCACATCTTTCCATTTTACCAGCTCATTTGAGGAGGCATGGTCAGCATGTCTGTCTGCAGCAGACCGCCCACACGAATCCAATTTCAAAAAATTTAAAGTAAATAAAGCAAGGGATATGGTTGCTTTCTGTCCCATTGTAATGGGGCAGAGTCCCCCCTTCTGTTTTTGCACATAAGTCTTTAAAACACCATTTGCCCGTTCTACCATGCCTTGCCCTTGTGGATTATAAGGCAATCCTGTTACATGATGAACTTCCATTTTTTGGCAGAACTGTTGAAAAACCTTAGATACATAAGCAGGGCCATTATCAGTTTTTAGCTGACGTGGCTTGCCCCAGGCTGCCCAGGCCTCCAGACAGTGGGTAATGACATGAGCCGTTTTTTCTCCTGACAGGGGAGTGGCATGAATCACTCCTGAGCATGTATCAACAGATACATGTACATATTTAAGTCTGCCAAAGGCAGGAACATGAGTAACATCCATCTGCCAAATATGTAATGGCTTAAGACCTCTGGGGTTGACTCCAATGTTGGGTGATGGCCGAAACTCCGCGCAACTGGCGCATTTTAAAACTATCTCCCGAGCTTCTGCGCGAGAGACGCCAAATCTCAGCCTGAGCGTATCAGCTGGAACATGATACAATTCATGAAAGGAGGTGGCATTTTTTACAGGATTTAATGCAAGACAAATTGCTCTGGTAGCCTTGTCTGCTAAATCATTAGCTCTTGTCATAGGTCCAGGCAACAAAGTATGAGCTCTCATATGCTGTATGAAGAAAGGATTTGCTCTATTCCTAATAATATGTTGTATCTCATCAAATAATATTGCCACAGTACTTTTAGAAGAAATCAATCCCACTGTCTCTAGAATTTTTACTGCTCCCACCACATAGTGTGAGTCAGAAACAATATTTAAGGGCTGAGAGAAGTTCCTTAGAACTTCAGCCACTACTGCACATTCAACCAATTGTGGGGAGGAAAATGAAAACTGCTTTTGAAATGATTGTCCACCCACAACATAACTCCCTATGCCAGTTTTTGAGCCATCAGTAAACACATCAATAGCCCCTACAATAGGTTGGCTTTGTGTAACTCTTGGAAAAATAAATGCATTAGTTAAAGAGAAGTGCAACAATGGATGTTTAGGATAATGATTATCTATATTACCAGTAAAGGTGCAGCGAAGAATTGCCCACACATCCAAAGTGGCACATAACACCCCTACTTGATGAGCGGTGTATGGCACAAAAATAGATGCTGGCTCACAGCCAAAATGAGTCAGGGCTGATTGAACACCCTTTAAGGCTATTTCTCCAACTTGAGTTGGGTAATGACTTAACACCTTTCCTGGAGATGTCTGAGAATGAATCCAAAGCAAAGGTCCCTGCTGCCATAGGACTGCGGTGGGTTGCTGTGGTGATGGGATAATGCATAAATGGAATGGACTGAAGGGGTCCAGCCGAGTTAAAGAGGCTTCCTTAAGCCTATTTTCCACCTTAGTTAATACTTCAGCAGCCTCCGCTGTAAGCTGCCTACTAGAGGTAATGGCTGAATCTCCTTCAAGGATGGCAAACAAAGGCCTAAGTTCTGCAGTAGTTAAATTCAAGTAAGGCCTTAGCCAATTAATATCGCCCAAAAGTTTTTGAAAATCATTAAGCGTGTTGAGCACATCTCTCCTAATGGTAATCTTTTGAGGTCTAATGCATCTAGGATAAATAGTTGAGCCAAGGAAATTACCGATCTCTCCCTCTTGTACCTTTTCAGGTGCTATGTACAAACCCTTTTGTTTTAGGTTAGCGGACAACATCTCAAATGCCTGTTGCAGTAATGCTTGCTCAGCATGGCATAGCAAGATGTCATCCATATAATGACATACCTTAATAGCAGGGAACCGATTTCTAACTGGCTGAATAGCGTTGGCCACATAGAGTTGGCACATGGTTGGACTATTGGCCATTCCCTGAGGTAAGACCTTCCACTGATACCTCTTATCAGGTTGTTCATGATTTACACTAGGCAAGGTAAATGCAAACCTAACTCTATCCTGATCGTGTAAGGGAATAGAGAAGAAACAATCTTTAATATCTACCATTACCAAATTCCAGTTCGCAGGAAGGGTAGACAACAATGGTAGGCCTCTCTGAATTGGCCCCATAACCTGCATTTGTTTATTTATAGCTCTTAAATCATGCAACAATCTCCACTTTCCAGATTTTTTCTTAATGACAAAGATGGGAGTATTCCAAGGTGACTGTGAGCACTCAATATGGCCATGGCTGAGCTGCTCTTGAACTAGCTGCTCAGCTGCTGCAAGCTTTTCAGAGGTTAAAGGCCACTGAGGAACCCAAACTGGGTCCTCTGTAGTCCAGGGAATGGGAATCGCCTCCTCAGTGGCCCCTAGGAAAAACCCAGGCCTGTTCTATCTTTCTTTTCCGAGGTTGGGATAGGGCTAGTGCGTCCTTGCAGGCATTTACCCAGTCCTTTACCTGGAACACATCCCATGTTCTTCATTATTTGTTGACTTTGAGGAGAGTATTCATTAGTTAAGGTAAAATCCAATTGTTGTAACACATCCCTTCCCCATAAATTAATGGGAAGAGGTAGCACATAAGGAGCGAACATGCCCCTTTTTCCTTCCTCATTTTGCCAATGCAAAGTCTTCGCACTCTTTTGAGGAGCATTTTCATATCCCAACCCTTGTAGGGATTGAGATGATAGAATAAGAGGCCATCGCGACGGCCACCAAGTTTTAGAAATTATGCTGGTATCTGCTCCAGTGTCCAATAGACCTTGAAAAGTTTTCCCTTCTATTATCAAACTCATCATAGGGCGTTCTTGCATACCCAATGACAAGAACATATGCTGTCCTCCCGAGGAACCAAAGCCTTTTTCTCCTCGAGTAGTTTTATCACTTGGGAAGTTCTGATGTAAACTGGGTAAGATCAAAAGTTGGGCCACTCTGTCCCCAGGCGAGATGGCACTAATCCCTCTAGGGGAGGAACATAACATTTGAATTTGTCCTGTGAAATCTTGATCAATGACTCCTGGATGAACTTGCAATCCTTTTAAGGTGGCAGATGAGCGGCCAATTATCAGTCCCACTGAACCCTCTGGCAAGGGGCCTGCTAAATCTGAAGGTATAGGCTGACATCCCATTATAGGTGTCAATACTGCTCTGGTGGTGGCACGCAAGTCCAATCCTGCTGATCCGGAGGTTGCTCTCCGGATGGAGTCATCTTCACAAACCCTTTTGATTGGTAGGGTGTCTGCTGGATGGCCCCATACATTTGTCTTGGGCCCTGGGGTCGGGGGCCCCTGTTCCCGTTTTTTGGCTGCTCAGTAGAGCGCTCCGGAAGGGGCCTCCCCTGATTGTCCTTAACAGACCTGCATTCATTTGCCCAATGCTTTCCTTTTTTACACCTTGGGCACAACCCTGGCTGTTTGACAGGCTGAGCATTAGGGGTCGCAGTTGGCGCCCGACACTGCCTTTTCATATGACCCATCTTTCCACAATTAAAACACTTTGCATTTGCAGCCTTCTGAGCTGATAATACCGCAGCTGCGATGCCCTGATTAGACAGTGGACCTCCTATCTCTCTGCACGCTTTCATCCAAGCGTTTATTCCTTTTCCTTTCCAGGGAGTAATGGCATTCCTACACTCCTTGGTACATTGCTCAAAAATTAATTGCTCCACAAACGGTATTGCGCCCTCAGGGTCCTCAAATATTCTTCCTGCTGCTTCCATCATTCTAGCCACAAAGTCTGAAAAAGGCTCTGTAGCTCCTTGTATAATCTTTGTCAAATTTCCGGTAACCTGTCCCTTATTTGGTAAACTCCTCCAGGCACGAACAGCTGCCTTGTTGATCTGTTGGTACACCTCAGCAGGATACATTGACTGATTAACAACCCATTGACCTTGACCTGTAAGCATATCATAATTCCATTGAGGGTGCTGATTAGTTGCATTCTGCCTAGCCTGAGCCATGCATAATTCCTGATAAATTGCTCTCCAATCAAGATATTGACCCATAGAGAGACATGCCTTCACGGTATTATTCCAGTCAGCAGGAGTCATAGCATCAGCAGCTAGCCTCTCTACCAATGCCAAGGTAAAAGAGGCACTGATACCATACGTCTGTACTGCCTCCACCAATGTCTTCAGTTGTTTCAAATCTAGAGGAGCATATTGCCTCTGATTTTGAGCATCTTCCCATACAGGAAATGCTGCTTGTATCTTTCTAACTTCCTTTTCAGGAATGCGTGACGGCCTTCCTCCTGATCCTGTGTGTTTTTCCACTTCCTCATAGGGAGGAGCTGTTGTACTGCACTTAAAAGCTACAGAGCCACGCCCAGGTGAATAAGGCGGGACGGGGCCATATCTCTCTTCCTCATATTTTGCAGCTTCCTCATCTAACTCTGCCTGCTCAGCAGGGTCAAGACCCGACTCCTCAGAGTCAGATGACTCCTGCTCATCCTCCCCTTCAGAAGAAGATGATAGAGTGCAATTTTTGAACTCAGTGAGGAGCGGATATAATTTAGGTTTTTCATCCTCATCTTTTTTTTCTTGCGGGGTTGGTAAGAGTTGCAATCTTTTTGCCTTATCTTCAAGCTCCTCTTCCTTCTTTGCAAGTTGTGCTGCCCTTTTTTCTAACTTAGCTAGCTTGGTTAACACATCCTTGTTCTCATGACTTTTCTTTTCTTTTTTCTTAGAAGGCTTCTTCCCTTTATTAGCCTCTTTACCCTTTTCAGCTTCTGATACACTATCCTGATGGTCTGACAAGACCCGCTGGCCTTCCTTGATCTTTTCCTTGCACCTCTCATCCTTAATGCACGATTTGAACAATTTATACAGTGGCCATACCCCTGGTCTTAGGGTCCCGTTCCTTTTCTCGTGTCAGATCCCCACTTAGCTTGCTCCATGATCCTTCCGTAAGGGACCCGGAGAGAACGAACCAGGGAGCCACTCGATCTACTTCTTTGAGAAAGTTCTGCAACACCCGATCTGGGACCTTAAGCTCCTTCTGTTTCAACAGCGCCCGCGCTGCTTCTAGAAGCGGCTTATTCCATTGCTCCTTTATCTACAGGGGAGGGTGTGGCAACTCAGTTATCTACTTGAGGATTACAGCCAAATTATGCAGTGTCGCAAAAAGGACGAATACAAACCGTATCCCGTTTCCCACAATTAAGACACAGACAACAGAAAAGAACGAAAACGAGACTAACAACGAGAAACGGAATCACCCAGACCACAGAAATCATACCTTGCTGAAAAGTCTCCGGAGTTTCTCAGGTCACTGGCTTGGATCCTCTTTCCGACGAGCAGTCGGGGTCCTCAAAGCTGTCCCTCTACCCGGGTTCGGCGGCTTCCCGGGTTTCGGCACCACTTGTCGCGCGCAGCCTTCGCCGATAAGGGTGACGCGGCAACCGAGGAG